TGCCCGCCAGCACAAAAATCTTATATGTAAACGCCACACAAAAGCTCCTACAAAACTCCACAGACCCCTTCATAAACAACCTTTAACAACTTTTTAGTTCTGCCGCCCAATCAGTGCAGCCTCGAAGCTGTGTGGAGGGATCCTTGAAGTAAAGCCGTTGCATAACCTCCCCAAAAAGAGGCAGGGTAAAGCGTTGAGTTCCCTACGGACCCTACGAAAACCGCCTAGTAGTGGTACGAGTCCCATAGAACTTCTGTACAGAGACTTGTAATCCCTCATGAAGCTGCATGCCACAAGGAGGTGGTGCAGGAGGCCGTGGCGTGACATGGGCATCGAGCTTGCAAGCCCTACGAAGATCCCATAATCGAAGCCCATGAGCTCTGGACTTACAATTCCAAGAAATCTCCATAAACCCTCATAAAGGCAGATCTTGAAAGACTTTCGAGTTTGTGTGTGGCCTCCCCTTGTGCGACCTTGAGGCCCTGCGCTGGCAGCCCAAGCTTTGAAAAAGCCCCCGTGCTTCATGAAATCCCAGACAGACTTGAATCCTATACAATTCCTAGACATCTCCATAGCCCCTCTTAATCCCTCTTAGAAATGCCCATTTAAAGACTTTCGAGTTTTGCCGCCCCCACTGGCTCGCCCTTGAGGCTGTACGCCAGGATCCCATGTATCTACGACATGTCGACCCCGAGCTCCAAGAAGACCGAGACTGGATGCTCGACTTGGTGAAGGCGACCCGCTGCTGGTGGCTCCCGCACTTTGCGGAGAACAAGAAGCTGGCAAAGGATGAAGCCTTCATGGCCGAGTGCAAGGCGGCGGCCAGCTGTGGGCTGGTCTTTACCTACTACCAGGACTTCAACTGCTTCAAATTGATGCGAAAAATGTTTCCGACCGCGGGTGCCTCCGTACCGGGAGGCCAGGCCTGCTTCGGGGATGGGGGGAAGGGGGGGCTGCTATTGGAGCAGGCGTGTGATCACTTTTTTGGGGTAGGACTCTTTCAGGCAGGTTGTTCCAGGCTCCTCCTTTGGACTCGTTTTTTTTTCCATGTCGGGCAGCTTTCCTCTTTCCTTCATTTTGGCGGGCATGCCTCGGGTTTACATTAATGTTTATCATAATGTGCATCATCTTTTGTGTACCTTGCGGTGGAAACTATGCACAACAGCATGGGCTGCGAAGGGTGCCCGGCCCGGATGCAGCTGGTGATCTCGCGCGTTCATGGGACCGACCATCTGGTTGACCTGTTCCCAGGCAGCTTCCCAGCTTCGGCAGTGCTTCTGCACGGACACCGATGTTTTTGTAAAAAAGCCATTGGGTTCAAAGATTCGAAAGTTCTTTTCGGGCAGGGTTCTCATCGTCTCATCCTCATCAGAGCTCCGAGGCAGGTCTGGAGCGCTCTGATTTGTACGGCACCTGGCTGAACTCCTTCCGGTAGCGCGGTGTTTGCAGGGCGCTGAAGCGAGATTTCGGTTTTTGGGGCTCGAAACCCGAAGCCATGCGCGGCCAAGCGCGTGTTGTTGTCCAGGCCAGGCCTACGACCGGGTGATGACGAAGTTGCGAGATCCTACAAGGCACGGCAGCTCCTTGGCTGGTTGGCTTTTGAGTTGAGGGCTTTTCACGGAGGCTTGGGATGCCCTCGGCCCTGCAGACCCCTGCAATAGCTTGAGGTGGGTTGTGGGAGCGGTCAGTTGTGCGCGAACTGTCGTGAACGCGTGCTGAGGCACGGCCACCGTGTGGTTTGGTGATGAACCCGTCTTCGGACACTCTGCCGCTGACGGCACCTGGGTGCACCCAAGCACCGACTGCGGGCGAGACGAGGTGCCCGTGCCTCCGGCCGAGTCTCGAGACGTGAAATGGAAGTCTTCCGTGGACTCGCGCAGCAGTTCCCTGGTCAGCGACTCAGAGAGGCGCTTGATGCTGCCAGGCCTTTACATGTGAGCGGCCTTTCGTTCAAGAGACTCCGTTGTTCGCAACGCGCCACTCAGGAGCCCGCGACTGGCGCAAAATACAGATGCCCCTTGGAAGATTGAAGAAATGCAGTACGCCTAACCCCTAAGCCCTGAATAGTAGTTTAAGATTCCATTTCTTTTTCATCCCTAGATAAGCCCTGCAAATCTCATTTGGCCCACATTATTATCTGGGTCTGAAAGCCATCGTAAGATTGGAAGTCTTGGGTTGGCAGTTGACAAGCTGGAATGTAATCATTGGATTCAGCAGGCCAATAATGGGGTGGTACAAATTCAAAGGCCTGACTAGCCACTCTAGCTGGTCCTCGGTCCTCGGCTCTTGCTCTTTAGGGGTTAAGGGTTTGGGGTTTAGGGTTTTGTTGGGGGCATGCTGGAAGGTGTTATCAGTCTTTGATCATCTTAAGAAGGCATACCATGACCAGATATCCTGAGATTGAGTTTTGAGGGTAGGTTTTAGATGCCCCTGCGAGTTGTGTACATTTCAGCATTCTTGAGGTTGTATTGTGGGTAGTTTTGTTTTAGAGTCGCTCAGTGAGAAGGCTTCAAAATAGTTTCGGGCCGTTTGTGTTGGTTCAGAGATGCATAGCTCCCATGGTGTTTCTTGGCTTTCACCTGCCTGTCTAGGACACGCCCAGAATCAGGACATTGGCGCATTCTCCAGGAAAGGTGGCGCATGTCAAAACCACGGAAGAAAGGCAGCAGTAAAGCAAAAAGCGACACAAAATCACAGGCCACCTGTGCGACACAGTCCTGTCAGCATACTAGCCCGAACGAGACCAAGCTGCATACACAAAGAAAACTCAGAACAGAACTTGATTGGATTGGGTGAGAGCTGACTTCTTATCCAGAGTATTCACTTTGTTTTTGGAAAAGCTCGTCTCCGGCCCTTCCAAAACGGGCTCGGAGACACGCTCACACGTGCTGATATTAAACTCAAACTTGGGTTGGCGGGGGGTGCGATAAGGGTAGGGAGGATGCGGGAGCCGGGAACAGGCCATCTCCTCCAGATGAACCTCAATATCTTTAAACTAACAAGAGGGCATAGTCCAGAATGGTTTTGCAGAAGCTTGAAAAGCTGGAAATGCAAATCGAGTGTTGCTTGTGTGTCTTCGCAGGTTCAGGGCAGCTGTGTTTGTATTCTTACTCGCTTGGGTGTCAAGCGTGCGTCAATTTTCTGCTTGCGCGCTTCGGTTTCAGAATTCTTGCGTAGATGGCTTGCTGGCGGCAGGCTCGTAGATGGAGTTGTATCATCCTAGCAGTCCTTGCCAGTAGTGCTCCGAGTTTCAGCTGCTGCCCAGGCTGGTGCTGCCACTGGCTCCGGGAGGTGCGCCGGCACCATGAGCTGGGCGAAGTCATCTGCTGCGCTGTTTCCAACATCTACGACGAAGACGCTCGACGATTGCAAGGGTGAGTGTACGGGGGTAAGGGGTTCTCGGGCTTTGGAGGGGTCGGCAGCACGGGGCAAGCCGCGCCCCGGCCTGGTCAAAGCTTGCAGGGACTTCGGGTTTCCTTTTCGTGTCGCCGGTGAGGTGCTTCGTTCACGTGGGGCAGCTGAGGATTGGGTGGAGGACTATGGAGCTGGATCCTCAGAGCTTTCGGACAAGGATGCCGAGAAGCATGGGCTGCCCAAGAGCCTTGGACTGCTTGAGATCTTTCAGTTTGTTGCCAAGTGATATGCTGCGTGATCGGTTCTGCATACAGCCCCTCCGTGCGCAATTCCCAGGGAGACCTTTCGAAATGGTCGCCCCGAAGGCTGGGGTGAAGGCCGCATCTGTATCTCTGATGATCTGACTGATATTGGCTCTGCATTCGACCGCGCTGCCGCGGTTCACCCTCGGACGCAACTGCCGCTGGGGGTGGGCTGCCGCTGGGAGCGCCAGGCCCTGGACGGCATGGAGTTCCCCGTCTATGCCTTCTTCATGCCCTGAGCCGTGCGAAGCAGGGATCAGGGCAGGGCATGGACGCGGAGACCGATGTTGTGTGATTCGTCTCTACCATTTCTTCGTTGTTTTGGTTGATGAATGTCTGTCAGGGCTAGGGCCTGCAGCGCTCCACCTCGAATCTAGAACCTGGAAGATCTCTGATTTGAGCAGCAGAGTTGCTGCGGCAAGTCGCCTGGACAAGGCCTCCAAAGCTGCTACAAGTAAGGCAAGAGGTTCGACGTCTCACCATGCACGTCCAGACTTGCCGCAGAAGTCAGAATTCCATCCTCGCTTACTCTATCCATACATCAGCACAATTCAGCACAGCTGTCGTAGTTCGAAGCCTGCACATGCCTGCTTGGATCGGCCACGAAGCATCCAAGAACTGACTAGAGCACGTCCTTCCGCGATCATCCGCAAGGAGTCGTATAGAAGGGATGACCACTGGAATTCTTCAGGAAAAGTTGGCTTCACCAGGTCCATCCAGGCATGTCTGCAGCACCTAAGATGAGATGTTCGGCTTCAGTGTCAACGTTCAGCCGCAGCACCTGAGTACGCGTACCGGACACAGCAACTCCCTCAAAAGAGGGAGGTTACGGCTCAGCATGAGGGCCCAGATTGCAGGTGTATGGCATCTTCTAGTGACCCCAAATCCTATAAACCCTAAACCCTAAATCCTGGGCTCTAAACCCTTAACATCAAAAACCAACTCAAACCGATGAAGTGCGTAACCTTCAGCCCTAAGATCTGGGCCCGCAATCCGCGAGAATGCCTCATCAGCCCGAAGGCCAAAAGAATTGACTTTCGTCTTGTCCTGGCGCCCCCCAGCCACCAACTCCAGGAGGGGGTTTTAGAGTTTAGAGCAGAGAGTTCAGGGTTTAGGGTTTAGGGTGCTTCCGCAGGTCCAGAGCGTCAGAAGGAGGTATGGATTGGCTTTGTGGAACTCTGCTCTGCACCTGAGAGCCAACAAGCCTCGGCCCCGAGCAGCCCTGCCTCCCGATTCTCGCTGGACCAAGAACTTGGATGTCCGGCCATACCTCCTAAACCCCAAACCTTAAACCGCGCACCCAAGAGTTTACATCTGATGAATCTATCCCCGAGCATCCTCAACATCCCGCGACCTCCAAAATCCTCACCCTTCGCGTACATCGATTTCCTCCGTATCCCCAACCTTTTTGCGAAACCCATCCTTGGACTCCTTTATGCCCCCAAAATACTGGATCCAGAACAGAACAGCTAGGTTGCTTTTAGGGAACTTAAATTACCATCATGGGTATGTATATATATATATGTATATTATAGTAATTAATAGGGTTTCCCCCCAATATAGTATCGTCAATCAAGTTCCTCAACAGCGACCCAGAAAATGTAAGATCCAAAACAGAAACAGGGTTGCGCGAAGCGCTGTCCTCTACGCCTCCAAAGCTTGGCTGGACTCAGAAGAGAAGCTCCCCTAAACCCTAAGCCCCAAATCCAAAGCCTTCTAAGCCCTAAACCCCAAATCCTAAACCCTAAATCTTAAAACCCCAAACGCTACACCCTAAGCCCCAAACCCCTAAGCCTAAACCCCAAAAAGTTCAGATCTGGAGTTCAATGCCTCGAGCCCACCGGCTTCCCAGGTGCCTTCAGGCTGGCTTTTCACGTCCCAAGCCCAGGGGTCTCAAAGTCCGGCTTCGGAACGGCAGAGTGCCAGGTTAAGGGTTTAGGGTTTAGAGGGTGTAAAGGGTTTAGAGGGGTTTACAGTGTTTAGGATTTAGGGTTTAAGGTTTAATATTGGGTATTCCTAGTGGAAGGGAAGGAAAAAGGGGGTTAGGGAGCCATAGGGGCACATGCTTCCAATCTCAGACCTTTGCGGAAGCGTTTGAGAAGCTCCAAGCCTGGAATTTCACGATGGAATTCAAATAAATCACATGCCTCAGATCAAACAGAAAAGCAATAGCAAGACAAGAAGTATCGACGGGTATGGCGCCAGGCGGGGAAGGCCCAGACAATTCACGAGGCCAGCTCCTCGCATTCTGTGCTGTTGTCTACGGCAACAAGGCCTATAAACAAACGGCCCACAGGGCTCTGCAAGAGTGCGGTCACGTCCCACGTGAGAGCCCAACTTGGATAAGGCCATCATGTGGCTTCCGTTTGAGTTTTGTCAGAGCCAGCTTGGAAGTAGCTTACAATTTCACGTCTTTGGCTTCCTCTGCGTAGGCAGATGCAGCACCCCAACTGTCAACCCCCAGCTTGAGACCTACACCTGAAAGTACAACTTGCTTAGCCAGTACAAGAATCCAAACCTTGTTGGGCTTCCTTTCTAGGTCCCTACAATAAAGTTTGATTTTTGTGTAGCCCTGGTCATGGGGAAGAAAGGCAATCCCCCCCCAGACAAAAAAATTGAAGTCGAGTCAAGAAGAAGACTCCAAGCTGCTTCAGCTCTGCTCAGTCACTTAGCCTCCATCCCAGAATCTAGACATGGTAGTTTCTCTTAAGGGGACCGGTCAGGGGGACTGAGTAAGTAGGCTATCAAGCCCTATAATCCATATAGTAGCGCTAGCTATCAGCATTCTTAACCCACTTATTGATTTCCCCTGACCCTCCAAGTAGACACGTCCAGACCTGGCCCAAAGCCCCTGGATTTCATGGCTTTGGCCTACAATAAAGGCTGGCCATCAAGGCCCTAAGCCCTAAACCCTAAACCCGCCCCTCAGGGTCCTTAGGCTCTGAAGCTGTAAGTCGTATACATCACCTTCAAGTCTGAGCCATTCTCTCTGAATGCTCGAAGCCCCAGCTCTGCAAGCCGAACCCAGCAGCCAGTTGTGGCCTTGGAATTTCCGAGCTTCAGAGCCCTCGGGAGTTTGCCAACCCATCTCTGGGCCAGGGCTTATCTCTACCGGAACTAAAGGACCACTCTCTGTAGCGCAGGGATCCGCAGTTCTGAGACATTTACGACGTAGCAAACCTGGAGCGTCAAGCTGCGGACGTGTCAGATGTTGAGAGCTGTCGGGGTTCTAGGCGCGTGTACGATTACTATACAAGCTAGAGTCTAAATTCCTTAAAGAGGTTTACATAGGGTATTATATGGTATTATATAGGCTGTATATAGGGGAGTGGCTCAGGGGTTGGCATGGGGGATACTTGGAGTGTAGACTATAGCTCATATGGCTTCTCAGAATTATTCACTCACTTACTAAGTCCCCCTGACCCTCTTAGTAGGGGTTCTGGACGTCAGCGGTTCGCAGCCAAATCCCACATTCTCTTCAATGATGCAAGTGCCAGGTCAAAGATGCTGGCATTCTGCTGTTCTACAGCTCTGTAAGCGTGGTCCTCAGTGGGTGAACCACGGTAGGAAGTTTGGGGGATGGAGTTTTGGAATCCTAGCTTGAGGGTGTGTAAATAGCCATGAGCGGCCACTCTGCCACGATTGCCAGGTACTCAGCAGTCCGTGCAGCTTGTGCCAGTATGGTAGGGGTTTGCATAGATGCTCACGGTCTAGTGAAGGCTGGCAGGAGTCTCGTTGAGGACTAGGAGACATGTTGGAAGGGGAACTCCAAACCCAAGAGTACCAGACAAGGGTAGTTGTAAGGCTTGCAGGGATACCTGGACCCTCCAACTACCCTCTTTTTAGACCTAAGTACCATGATTTGACTCTCCATTATGGGGGATAAGACCCCTAAAGCCCACATAGCGCCTGTAGCCTAATAAGGGAGCTAGGAGGGTCCTGGTACCTAGCTGTTAAACTGGAGTGTTGCGGCCTGAAGTCTTTCAAAAGTTCCGGGCCGGAAAAAGTATCCTCAAAGGGTATGACCTGGACCTCCAACAAAGTCTGCAGAATAATGGCCTCCTGGGCTAATTTTGGATGTTTGGGGCCAGGTTGATAAACTACCTATGATGCGAGGTCCCGGTAGGCTCATGTTTTGTAAGACTTCAAGGGATGAGCTGCATTTGCCTGGAAACTCGCAAGTGCTGGAGAGAAATTGGGCTGGCGAGGTGTCATCCCCTCTCAGAACTTTCGTAGGAGAAGGCCGTTGTGCAGTCCTCCGGCACTTGTGGCCCTTGGCTCAAAGCAAAGATTGGCAGTACCGCCTATCACAAGCAATATTCACAACATATATCCCCGCACCGCAAAACGCAAGAGTGACAATGCCAGGCATCGCAGCAAGAAATTTCGAAAATTGATCGGCCTTGATCTCGTGGGGGGCCCATACTGTCCAGACGCATGTCTATAGAACACCTACATAGCCAAAAAATACAAAAAGTTCAGTTGGCCAGCAGTTTCGAAACTTCATCTGCGTGCATCGCGTAGGGGCCCCATATGTTTTAAAGACACATGTCTATACAGAAGGTCCCAACAGGCCAGGTGGGCCCGGGGGCCTGAGCATCCAAAACCAGAACCCGGCGTGAGACGGAGCACATGCCTGGCAAAGCAGAGGATAGCAGAGGCGGAGACGTGCGGAGTCTTTGCGAGTGGTTTTGGGGTCGGCTTTAGGGGTTTTCCGATGAAACCCTCAAGAGAGGAATAGCATTAAGTCATGAAGCTTCAGAGTTCAGACTTCAGTACCGCAGCGGTAAGACGGGCGATGCCGGCCATGTTTCACCCCCATGGTGGCCGGGACTCCTTTCAGTGAGCTCCCAAACCCGAGTCTGCGAGCCTGCCACAACTGGCAAATTCTGCCCCACGGGCGCTTCTCTGGCCCGAGGAGGTTGGAGGGGGAGGGCAGAGTTCTCATCCTGAATTTTGCTCATCATATTCTTTGTCTTCGACGTAATCATTACTAGTTACTAGTAAGTGTTGCAGATTTGAAGCCCTACATGCCTATGTTCAACCATTCGCAGTTTCGTTTGGATCGTGCCAGTTTTTGTCAGAAAGGCATTGATGTCATTCTTTGCTTCTTACTCGCTTCATTGGCTGCTTCTGCTGCTTGCGGCATTTCAGTTGTCACTTTTGTTCATTTTAGTTACTGGTCCTTAAAGGAGAGTGGGGGAGCGGATCCCTATCATAATGCCCATGCAATCCCCACATATGTAGCTCTATAATGGCACCTATCTTCACTCCCCCCCACTTCCACTCTGTAAGCACCAGTAGGCTTATTCTCGCTGCTGGCCTTGGCCTCGACGATCTTATGATCTCTGCCAATAAAATCAACCCATCAATCAGCCCAATCACTCAATCTATCATTCAGTCAGTCAATCAATCAAGTTCACCCACACATTCCTGATGAGGACGATTATGATGATGATGGGGTTCATCGTCATCCCTCAATTTCACCATGCGTGCTCCTTTTGTCTGAGCGTCGAGTGATGCTGTGGTAAGGATCATGGCTATCTGGATGGTTGTCAGCATTGGTACAGTACATATGTGGCCACCTATCACATGTGAGTCCTCTGCACATGAAGCTGAGACATCCCGGGCCCACTTGTTGTGCACCGGGAAGCGGAGTGGCGCATCTAGTGTAAAGATAGATCTATTCTCCTGCCTTCCATGCGCAGGGCAAACAGAGAGAAGTAATCAGGGGTTTGCTAAACAAGTTGTACTTCCTCCCAAAGCCAGGCAAACCTTGACCTGGAATTTCTCAAAGTTTAGCCCATATGCTCAACCCTAAACCTTCAGGTTTAAATATTAACCTATTAACCCCAAACTTATGGAAGGCCCAGACCGCCATGGACACAAGCCAGGCCCAGCGGTGGACATTGGGGGTCCAGGGATGAGGGTCCAGGGTTGCAGCTGTGGATTTCAATTTTTTGGGGGAGCCGGGGGAGGGGGGGGGGGAGCGGCTTGTATTGTTGGGCGTTATGCGGATGTGCAGCTGTCAGATTTCGGTATTTTGGAGTTCTGGAGCCAGGCAGCCTGGGGCACAGAAGAAGCTTCGGTGTAAGGCTTTTAGGCTTTCAGGTGGGTGATGGTGGGTGGGCTCCGGTGCACAGACTTGATGCTGAGAGAATTCTGGGGTTAGAAAAGTTTTAAAAGCCCCCCATGCTCACTCTCCAGTTCAAAGCGTGCAGTGTGCGTCGTACTTCAAGACCTGGACGTGCTGAAAGTCATCCCTAAACCCTATAAACGTAAACCCTAAACCCTAAGCCTTGAGTATACTACGCTGGCCCGTTTGTATTTCCCCTTTTTATGCCGAAGGGCCCCCGAGTCCGAAACTCCCATGCTTCTGAGACGGCCCAACTTGTTCCAGGATCCTTCTCCCCTCGGAGTTCAGGGTTTGCTGAATATGCCGGATGTTGGGCTTGCGAGGGGCTTACGGTGTGATGGGTTTTGTGGTTCACTTCATGGGTTTGGGGTTCGATGACTGTAGGGTTTTTGTGCTGCGGTCTGGAAGGGTCGGAGAGCTGTTGGGAGTGAATGGTTCGGTTCATTTCATGCAAAGTATGGCATTGCCTGTGTGTTTGTTTTCGTGATAGCTGAAGTGAGTCTGCTACCACGAGCCTCCACACTTCTGAACCGGGCCTTGGAAAGAAGTAGCGGTAGCATTGGTCATGGAGGACTGCTTTGCGTTGCATGGGTACGGGCAAAGGAGGATCTCCGCAAGTCCCACCCCCGGAATTCACGCTACAGGATCCTAAAACAAAAGCCCTAATCCTGAACTCCCAAACAATCCCTCTGGCTGGACTCACGTGGGCTCCCCTAATTTGTTACGAAGTCCCATAAACCTAGAGTTTTGGGTTTGAATAGCACCCCAGTCGTGCCGTCTTACTAGAGGCCCAATGGTCAAGGGCGTTCCATATGCTTCTGACTCCCAGCGCAGCTAGGCTGGATTGCCCTTGGGGACACTGAGTAGAGCTACCCTAGTTCCTATAAACCCTAAACTCTGAACCCTATGATCCCTTCTTCTCGCATTTTGATATTTAGCCTATTTCTTTGACCCTAAAAACTCTGCGCCCTTCTTCCCACATTTTGCGGGCTCAGGAGCTACAGGCAGCCGGCAAGATGAGCACGCTCCCGAGCCAAGTTCCTTCGCACCCGCAGGCCAGGGCATCCTTCGAAGCATCTTTCGCTCATTGTAGGGATTTTCCTGAAAAATTCCATCATATCCGGGGGAGGAGTGGGGGAGCAGGAATCCCATCAAATCTGGGAGATTGAGTAGGGGCATGTATGTCAGTTCCCTGGGCAACAGTGTCAAAGGCAACCTGGTCATGGCTACTAGTGGCTGAGAGTTTCTCGCTTCTCGTGGTCGAGTGTTTGGTCCATTGGTTGAGGGTTTCGGATGTTTCTCCTCCCATTTTGTGGTGAGGTTGGGGTCTGTGATGCAGGAGTCAGTATAGTAACTATTCATTTCTCGCATCACAAAGAATGAGCAATTCTGCTTGCCCTGGCCAGTTGTGCACTGTCCACATGTGTGGGCTGAGCTCAAAGTGTTTCGTGTTGATGTAGCCAGGCAGAAGCCGCAGTACAACCTAGCACAAACCGTCAGGCATCTCGAAGCGCTGCGAATGTTAAATGCCGAGAGCAGCTGCACTGCTCTTTGCTGCTGAAGCTTTAGATGATTAGATGTCACAAGCCCAAAACCCTTAAACAACCAGCCGTTCCCATAGCCCAGCAGACATGGGCTTCTTGTCGCAGACTGCCGGGGCTGAAGCGGCTGACGATGCTGCCGGTGGAGATCTCTTGCGAGCGGCGGCGCAGGCAGGGCATGTGGCCATCAAAGGGGATGTTAGCTTCTTGACAAAATCTCTGAGAAACTCCTCGTGGCTCTACCTTCAGGCCCCTAGAACGATGTGCGTCTTTATGCTCATGTCCGCCGATTGGTTGGCACCTGCTTGACACCGGCTTATGAAACTTATGTGTGAAGCTTGAAGGCGCCTGTGACATGCCCCTGTGCACGGCTACTGTATGTGGGCCAACGTGTTACATCCACCTATGTCACCTAGAGTCTAGAGCCCAGAAGTTCGAAATGGGTGCCGGGCTTCTGCGTCACAGCGCCAGCACAGGTCCGAACCAATCAACTCCATTCCCTGCGAGGTGCCTGCTGCAGCTGAGAGCGCCCATGAAGGCACAGCCGCGACAGTGGCAGGACCTTGGGATCAAAAGCAACTTGAGAGGAAGCTGGTGTGTCACGTGTTTGGGATGTACCAGGGCTGCCTCTAGTTGTGTTTTGACTTTGGCATCTAGAGCCTACGGAAAACTATTGCCAGAATACTACTAGCCGTATGACAGCAACCTGATCCGCAAAAATAGTCGTAATAAAGGAAGTATAGCCTTGAATGATCGCATCAGTACCCCTGTGTAACCTTATATAAGCCTTATATAGCCATTCCTATTATACGCGACATTGCCCCTATCTAAACCTTGAGCCCCATACCCTAAACCCCAAACCCAAACAACCCCTTCTTTGCTGTTGGCTTTCCCAGAGTCTGACTAGGCCCAGATGGCGAAGCCCCCGGCGAGAACGGAGACCCCGAAGCTGAAGCATCAGCCGGCAGACAGCAGGCAAGATCTTGGGATTCGGGGCTAGGGGAGGCTGCGTAGGGTACATGTATGTAGGGGTTGTGGAGGTGTAATTTAGGGTGATGTAGGTGTTACATAGGGATTGTGTAGGGGTCAGGGATATATTGATTCAATGAGGGAGAAACCAGTGGAGAAGAACATGGAAATGGCATGCAAAATGGAGTTTTCTGAAGTCTGAAGCGTCAGACGAGAGACAAGAGGCGAGACTCCCCTCAGAGCATGTCTTCCCCAACATATATGATGCTATTACACTGGGGGGCTTATCTTTAGGGTCTGGGTGGCTGTTTTGATATAGGTTGTCATTGTTCTTTTGATAGGGGCGCGAGGCGGGATGGGATAAAGGGATGTTTGGTCTGGCCTCTTAGGCATGTATGAAAGGCACCCGGACAGGTTTCACACTGCCTTGTCAAATGTGGTAAATACTGGGAGGCGATGAGTGCCTCAGCTGTGGGCCCCAGCGCGCCACCAGGCTTGGGCAAGATTCAAGGGTTGGGGTTCCGGGTAGCAGAGGGATTGAACCCAAGGAAAGCCTATGAAGCGTGGAGGAGCTTTGAGGAAAAGTGAAATACGCGCAAGGTGCGTTGCTGAGGAGCTGAACCCCCTAACCTGGACTCCCAAACTCTGAAGCCCCCCTATAATCCCTACAAAATCCCTATAGTCCCTATAGTTTCCATTTTCATTTCCATTATCCCTATTTAATCCTCTATATATATATACACACACCCCATAACCACTATATAGTCCCTAGGGGTTAGGATGTACAACCCCGATTACCACAACAGCCATGTGCGGAAGCAGACAAGTTCAGACTCCCGGATGAGGGGTCTACTGCCTGCCTCGTCTTAGAGAAAGTGGTGCAACTCCCTGTATACCTTATAATCCCTGTGTAACCCCTATATACTTACTGCAATCCCTGTAGTTTCCCTTGTCTTTTCCAGTCCCAGCTAACCCTATATACCCCGTGGCAGGTCGCCAGGCGCTAGAGCCCGGACGTCCTCGGACCCGCAAAGTTGAGGCACGCCGTTTTGAGTTTCATTGCATGGCAAGGGTTTCTCCGCTTGGACCTTGGAGTCAAAGGTTTCTCCACTTGCTTGGACCTTGGAGTCATCCTATATCTTCAATTTCAGCTACTTGCGTAGTAGTCGTTTGCGTGAGCATAGCTGTAGTGGTGGTTGACTTCTCAATGTGAATCTCCATGTGAGCAGAGCTGCGCAAAACCCTACAGCCAAAACCCAAAGCCCTAAACCCTAAACCCGTCCCAGAAAAAAAGCCTGAACCCTCAACTCAAAACCCTAAGAGCTTTCCTTTTTTTACAAGCCTGGGTCACGTCTGCACAGTGAATAGGACTTCTTGCAGAGTGGCAGAAATACATACGACCAAACTAGACCAGGGGTACAGACGAGAATCCCAGCATAGCAGCCCGGCATCCTTCCCTCAAGCGTGCAGTGGCAAAGGCATCCGCCTTATCATAAAAAAAGTTTCCCAGCAACCCAAGGATGTTGTCTCCCTCGTTGTCCTGTTTTCCTTCCCGCCTGCACCCTCCAAACCGTTAACCCAAAACCCTAAACCCCAAACCCAAAACCCCTTTGAACTTCAAACCTGAAACCCCAAACCCTAAACCCCAAACTCCCTCCTCCTCCCTCCTCCTGGCTCTTGCAGTCCCTTCCCGGAAGCTGTAGAAAACCTCGGATCCAGGCGCGGGGACCACTGGGCTTCTTTCTGAAGTGGAGATGTCTGGGGAGATGTTTGCGGAAGCCCAGTGAAGCAGGTGCGCTCTGAGAATATCATGAAGGGTTGCAAATGGACCCTGCATGTACTAGATACTGTAATTGCAACGCATGCAAGTTGCTTGGAAAAGCAGTAAGAGTTAAAGATGACGAGACAATCGAAATATGAACAATACTAACAGGAAGAATAGTTATCAATAGTAATGATATTCATCGCAATAATCATAACCATCCATGTTTCTCAAGAAATCTTTAGCCGGAATGTTGCTTATGTTAAGGCTTCTACATTTGTTGTTGGGTGGTTTCGATAGGGCCTTGAAAGGGTACTCCTGGCTATCTGGGTACCGCAACTCTGGGGTTCGGGCTTAATCAGGCCAGAATGCCTCTGCGCCGAGTGAGATGGGAAGCCTGGATCTAATGGCCGGCGGAGATGAGGCGAGATGTTGAGATCTGTCGAGCTTCTTCCTGGCTGTTAGCAGGTTGATATGAGAATAGGTTGTATAGGGATTATCTTTTCTTATTCCCTACTAAAGCCAATAACGTTTTGGAAGCTTCTTGGGGAGGCAAGACTGTGTAGCACTGGGAAGACTGCTGCGAGGCGCTGTCGACTCCAGCAGCTGCAGGGCGCACCTCCGAAGGTTCTGGCTGGCTTCGGTTGAAGAAGTGTGCAGATGACAGGGATCCTGTGGTAGAGATGGGTAGACGGTTTCACGTCTGGTGGCTGGCTTCGGTGCAGAAATCCTAAACCAGGCCTAGACCTTAAGCCCTAAACCCCAAGCCCTAATCCCTAAACCTTTGAGGGGACACGGAGGCAAAGAGAAGCGTCAGGTTGAAACTACCCTTGCCTCGGGTAGGTGAGGTTGCAGGAGGGGAGGCGAGCTAAGAGCCTCGCTGCAGCGCAGGTTCAGGGTTTGGGGCTTCGCGATCTGTAGCATCAATCACCTAAACTTTTATGGGCTTTTATGGGTTCTACCACTAACTTTGAGGTAATTATTCTTAATCTAAACAGTATAGGAAAGGGGGGGTTACTGATGTGCTTCAGCACTGATGGCAGGCCGCCAGCCACTGGAGCCCCGGGTGCCGCAGCCCAGCGAGGCATCGGCACGCAGCTTGCACGGTCATCATCACCTGCCCTTGGTTAGCCGACAGAGGAAACTCCAACATCTTTATCTTTGGGACTCTAAGGGGTACGAAATGCGGGCAATCCATGCAGGGCATGCTCAACTACATGCCATGCCATGTACTTGTCACAAGAGCCTGCATCACTACAGTCCCGAAACTCTGAGTTGCTCAGCGTGCAACTAAGATCCGAGTCACTTTTTCGCCCCGCGAGGTGCATGAGGCCATGGACAGCATCCACAGAGGCATCTCGTCTTAACCCTTTGATGCCGGTGCTATTCATGATTCGGATACTGTCTTCCGCGCATGGCACATGTCAAATTGATCCCTGCCTTTTCTGTCGAATTTGGGATTCGAAGCCCCGGGTTGCTCTTTCTGGAGCAGGCCGCGATGGGCCGGCACCAAGCGAGATGGGAGGCCCACATCCACCAGCGGGCGCAAACAAGGCGAGAGATTTGGTGCTGCGGGCCGTTCAGGTTGAGGAGCCTCCTTTGTGCCAGTGTGGGTCGAAAGAGGCTTTGCGGGTTGGCAGGGCTGTGTGGCGGTGGATTGAGTCCTGTAAGGCGCATTTGACGGCGGCAGCTGCAGGGCGTATCTCTGAAGGCTGGGGCGTTTTCTGGTGGCAAGCTGATGACGTCTAGGTCTAGGGTTTCGGGACTGGAGGCTCACCAGTTCACGTGGAGTCTTCAAATTCAATTGTTCAGAGTCTAAGAATCCTGATGATGCCTGGTACAACTCTTAGACACCAATTCGACGTCTTCACAGATGAGGCTGTAGGCGGCACACACCATGTGGAGGCTGAACATCAGATTCCGGCAGGATCTCTTTAGCAGACTAAGGCTGCATAGCTTTTCTTTTTGGCTGAGGTTCGTCTAGGGTGTAGCAGGCTTGCCAGAAAGAATTTACTACGGAGCATGGATGCGAATCGAAGCCTTGCGCTGGGCGCGTCCTGATCGAGCAGGAGTGTGGATGACAATTTTTTTCATAAGGGGGAGTTGAGAGCTGTGTCCTGGACCCAAGACGATAAAGGGCTGGTAGAGGATTCGGTTGTTTAGTGATAGCCGTTGGGATTGGCAGGCAGCCATCCACTGGAGCCCCGAGATCTCCATTCTGCCGAGGATGAGGCGCGTGGGTTGTGGGCTTCGGGGATGCGAGCTCCGGGAAACCAGGGCTGCCGCTTCTCCAGAACCGTCCACATAAACTTGGATCGTCATGCAAGTTAAATCCAAGCCGCGCCTGTGGCATGGAGTCCTTGCATGATCTGCCCTGAAGTTCTGACACATGAAGAGCTGTGCCAGACTTTCAACCGCTGGCTTGTGTGGTCCTAGATTCTCCCCGCTTGGCTCTACTTGCCCTTGGGAAGTGCAGGTGACGGGAGCTGGCCACAAAGGCATGACTCTGAGAAACTGCATGGAAGTACGCACTGCAGTAGTTGCTGCTAGATATTGATCGTGCTTTGCATGCCCAATGTGCAGCTGGGCGTGGTGACATTGATCCGGGTTGTCCTGGAGTTGCGACTCATGCCAAGCAGGCCAAGATGCTCCAACGCCTGTGGAGACCGAGGGAGAGCAGGCGGAATCATCTCCTGTTTCCCGATTCCTCGAGAGCTCATCTCCGATCTGTGTTGCAGTCCTCAGAGGGAGTTACGAGCAGGAGAGGGGCAGGCTGCAAAGCTTACGTGGAGCTCGTCAGTTTTCCTGTTGGGAGGACAGAGCTCTTTGGATCCACGTCTTACTCATTTGACTCGCAGTCTGGGAGTCTTGGAGAGCTCCGGGGTTGAAGGCTTTGAAGCGTGATGGTGCGAAGCAGGATGGACAGCCGCAAAAGCTCTCACATCTTTTAGCTACAAAATCCTATGGCAGTCGTAGATCCCTTGGCTGAACAGTTCCATAGCCATCACACTCGGCCAGTCCCTGTGAACGCCTGTGCCATAGGGTCACTGCGCATGTGCCCCGTCGTGCCTGCAGGGGTTGCGTGCCATGTTTGAGGGACGGCTTGTTTGTTGGTGATCGATTTTATAGACGAGTGACAGGCGAACGAAGCGATAGAAGACGGCCATGGAGGCATCGCGCCCAAAGTATAGCGCGTGTTTGACTTCATAGCATCCTATGTCTATCTGGTGCCTCATGAGGGCTGTTCGTGCTGTGCATGATACTTCTCGCTTGCCATCGCACTGAAACACCAAAGATAGCTGCGTTCTATGGTGATCCCTGGCCGCAGGACCAAAAGAATTGGATGGCAGCGAGAACGGAGCGCCGCAGCAGTCAGCAAGCCGGCACGAGGCCTGGAAATGAACCGCCAGGTTTGGATGAAATCTGAAAGGGGTGTACAGGGAGTGAGCGGCAGGCTCTCTAAAGTACAACCAGAGAATTGTCAGGTTGCCCAGAGACCTGTCACGCTGAAGAGTAGATTTCTTGTGTCTTCGCTGTGCAGCCAAGCTTTGAACTTTAGCCCCTGCGAGGTGCTTGAGGCCACGGACAGCATCCACAGAGGCATCTCCTCTTAGCCCTTTTGGGAAGCTGGCGCTACTGATGGTTGGAGTGCTCCATTGAGCAAACTGCGCGAGTCAGGTTGATATGCGTTTTTTTTTCAGTCGAAACTGGGATCTGAAGTGCGGGCTGTTTCGAGCAGGCCCCGAAGGACTGGCGCCAAGCGAGAGGGGAGGCCCCCGTCCACCGGTAGGCGAAAACGAGGCGAGCTTTTGGGCTGAGGGCCGTTCAGGTTGAGGAGCCTCCCTCCCTTTCGCACACGTGGGCTTGACGGAGTAAGGAGTTTTGCGATGCGGCGAAGCTGTGGGAAGATGGCTGTGAGGCGCAGTTGACTCCAGCAGCTGCCGGGCGCGTCTCCGAAGGCTGTGGTTGGTGCTGATGGCAAGACTTCATTGGGTTGTAGTTGGGTCGAGGCTGGTACAGGGTTTCAGGCCCGGAGGCTCGACGGTTTGAATGGAGGCTTCAAAGAGGGTTTAGTCGACGAATCCTGGTACATCCTGCACTCTACCAGGCTGCAATTCTGAGACACTGAGCTGTGTCATATCGTGCCAATCTTGAGAGACTGGAAAGGAAGGGAGGCTCTGAAGTCTCTCCATGTTTACAATTCTGTTGTACATACGGTTTCTTCGGTTGCACTCGTAGCATGTGCTTTTTGCAGGTTCTCAGTCTCATGTTGGTACGGGAGAATCTCCTGGGCACAAGCTATTTTGACATTTTCTAGTTGGCAGCTTGGGATACGGTTTTGATACTGTTCTAAATAAGTTTGCCCTCGCCTAAACCGTAGAAGCCTCAACCCTAGACGGGGCCTGCAAGCTACCACGTGCGCAGTTTGGCTTGAGCATCTGGGTTGCTGGTAAGGAACTTAATTCAAGTTACTAGAACAAGAAAACCTTGCTATTTTTCTATCAATACTTTTTCTATATATCCATTCGACGGTAACTCACTTTGAATACCTTAACAGCAACTCAGCCATGGATGTGTTGGGCGAAGGGCCGAGCGAGGAGGAGTGGAGATAAAATCCACGCTGGCTAAACATGAATTAAGTTGCCGAAATGGGCAGAGATTAATTATTATGGTTTCCCCAATATAGTAACTGAAACTAAGTTCCTTAACAGCGACCCAGTAAAGGGGCAACTTGGGAAGCATGTCCTGGACCCAAAACCATGACTTACTGGTGGTTAGTAGGGAATAGGGGAATAAAGTCCCTACATAATATACTCCCCTTTTCCCTGCTATCCTTCAGTAAGATGATTGGTGCGTTTGGAGATTGTCACCTAAAACAGACAATGGCATGACAAAATCGCGGAGAGGCTGAGTTTGTGGAGGGTTCAGCTGTTCGGGGGAAGCAGTTGGGATCGGCAGGCAGTCATCTGCTGGAGCCCCGAGATCTCCAGCCTGGCGAGAACGAGGCGCCTGTGTTGTGCCCGTGGCGCAGAATCCTTGCATGATCTGCCCTGAAGTTCTCACACAAATGAAGACGAGCGGCGCTACACGCTTGCAACCGCTGGCTTGTGTGGTGCTAGATCCCAACTGCTTGGCTCTCCTTGCCCCTGGGAAGTGCAGGCGAAAGAAGCTGGACAGCAAGGCGTGGCTCCGAGTGTCTGAGGATGGTGCAATTGTGAGACCTCATACTAGAAGCCCGCGCTGCGGTAGTTGCTGCTAGGTATTGATCATGCCTGCAAGCCCAAAAAACAGCTGTTCGCAGTGGCTTTGATCCGGGTTTCCCTCTAGTTGCCGTCCACCCCAAGCAGGCCCAGAGGCTTCAGCGCCTGCGGAGATCAAGGGCCCGGAACCACCAGCATGCGGCGAAGAGCAGGCCGGAATCGCGTCCGGCTTGCCGATTCTTTCGGGAGCCCAGCCAGCTGCACAGGAGGCTGAGTACTTCTCTGCCCTGGCCTGAGCCAGCAAACCTTCAGCGAGATGCCGCGGACTGGTAAGCGAAGTGTCAGCAAATGCATTGACGCCACAAGGTAGAGATCCCTGTGGCGAAGCTCTTCGACGGCAAGCTGGGCCTTTCCCTCAACCACAGACTGGAGGTCAGTAAGCTCGAAATTCCTGAGGCAGGGGCTCCAGGATTGTTGAGTTGGAGGATTTTGTGGCGCTCATGCCTTCAAGTCCATTCCTAGACCAAGAGCTGAGTAAACACTACAACCCTTAAAAGATACCTCGGGCCCAGAAGGCCCAGAAGTTTCAAGTGGTGAATGGCGAGATGGTCTTACCGCTGGCTGTGGCCTGCACTTCCTTTTTTCTTCTCAGCAGCTGTGACAGGCCTCGGACTTTGGATGGAGTCCGGGGGATCGGATTGTGGCTCTGAATGGCCAAAGCGTCAGCGATCGTGAGGACGCAGCCTTTTCCAGACAGACATATTGGAATATCCGGGGATGTGTGGGCGCTGTTTTGCTGGGCAGGATTTGTTTTCTCTTCACAGCCATCTGCCTGCAAAGAAGTGTCTGGACAGGAGCTCATGACAGTCTATGCCGCTGCCAAACAGCAGCTTCCCATCCACTTCACCGTGTCACTTAGCCTGAATGATGGATCCATAAGCGGCTAAAACCTATAAACCTTAGTCAAGACAGCTACAGCAGTAGTATGCGCTGCGCTGGAGGAACCGGCCGACCCCTGCAGAGGACATCTTGCTATTGTTCCGCTTGTAGGGATCTTGCGGTATCTACGGTGCCTCAGCTCCCATTGCTTCAAGTATTTTCCCGAGAATCTGGATGCGTTCAAGTGGTGCTGTGCTCAAGCCGTTCGCTTGGCTTGTGGCTTCCACCCAAACACGAGCCTCACATCATGCATCTTAATACGGCCTCGTGATCTTGGGACTGCATGGTCTCGTGGTTCTGTACCGTGCTGCAGGGTGAAGTTGCATCCGTCTGAAAAGCTGGTAGAGCCAGGCAAGCTGGAGAACCGCTTCTTGGTCCCATTGGCATGCAAACGTGAGAGAGCAGTTATTTACTGATCACGGGCTTCCTCGCGAACGGCATCAAACGCACGGAGCATTTGATCCCAAAGCTTCAAGGAACCAAAAGACCACCAGAACGAATCCCCAACCCATCCTGTCCTTCGCATCTGACAGCCTGGCACCCAGAGCCCCCAACTCAGAAAAGGCATAAAGATGGTTGCAGCAAAAGGCTCCTGACGAGACACAATGTTTAAGGCACTCCGTCACAAAAGCTTGCTTCTGAAAACACGATGTGCCCGAGGATGTGCAAGGATCTTGTAGCATGCCTATGAAGAGCTTATGAAGAGAAGTGTATTGCATGAGGTTTCTGGACAGGTGTTTGAGCTATGTCTAGGATCAAAATGCGCTCATATGCGCATCAGCTCGACAGAGCATCACGGCATTCACCATTCGCATAACCCTTATGTTAGTGTCGCAGTGTCGCCCCTTTGTGAGCACAGTCCCTTGTTCAAATTAGCAAGCCTGGCATCGCTTTCGCAGAACCCGCCTCACATCTTACGTCCATTTAGGAGGGGCCCTCGACAACTTTGCTACTTCCAACCCAACAACCCAAGACAAGTAGGGACCAGGACGTGTGGCGGCTTCTTGAACAGTCTCGCTCATGCACCCCAGCATCTGCCTGACATCATCTTTCGAGGAATCCAGCGTAAATCTTCATGCCACAGGCGGGCTCAAACCCGAAGCCCTAACTCTAAATCCTAGACCTGAAGGCCACAGGCGGGCTCCGAAATTTCGGCTTCTCTCTTTGCGAAAGTTAGTGACAGGTCTGCTCCGCTCAAGTTCAGGAAGAAGCGTACTGCTCCGAAAGTTCTTTGCTTTACATTGCTTTCCATTGTGCTCGTGGCTACTGTTGATAAGTTTGCAAAGGTCTGGCAGGGTGTCTATTTGGACAACATGCGCGTTCAGAACGCAATTCGAAAGTCCTGAACCTAGATGTGTTTCAAGGCACACCTGTCCCCCCTCAAGTCTTGATCTGCTCCATTTATGTTTGTGTTTGGTGTGCACCCTCGGGGGAGCACCCCACCCTCGGGGGAATGAGTATCCGTGATTATCGAAAAAGCAGGACTACTTTGGGCGAGGTTT